GTTAGACAAGCGTTATTCGCTCTGTGTCTTATACAGTTGAGTGGGTCGGGGAAAGAGCGGAGGGGAATCGCATAGCTACTCTATTTCAATAATAATAATAATAATAGTGATAATAATAGCTATAATAATAAATAAATAAAAGCTCGTAAGTACTGTAAATCGTTAACCACTTTTTCTGAACACATTCGCTGTTAGAAACGCATCGAATTCGCGTGGCATAACTCCAAGGCACCCAGAATAACATTCCAAGCAAAAAAAAAAAAAAAACTGTTCACAGTGGTTCTCGCACACGTCACGTCGACCAGTCGTCGATCATAGTAGTGTATCCAACAAAGCGATCCTCTGCAGCAATACGCCTTTCCTTTATCTCTCTCTCTCTCTCTCGTTACTATGGAGTGAGCCAATGGAGCCGCCAGCTGAGGGCTCCAACGCTACGAGAAACATCCCACGTTCTTCATGAACTAAACGTTTCTTGCTCTCTTCCTGAAAGAAATTGTAACAGCGGCTTTCAGATCATGGCTGAACGGGACCTGTTTCACGGTGCCCGATCTGCTGAGATCGATTCACTTTAAAAAATATACGAACAAACAATTAAGCCCCTGGAAGCATAGGGGATATTTTTGCACTTCTGCTTGGTGACTGCACTGCATCAAATCGATATCCCGGCTGCGGCGGCTGCATTTCCGATGGAGGCGGAAATGTAGGCCCGTGTGCTCAGATTTGGGTGCACGTTAAAGAGCTCCAAGTGGTCGAAATTTCCGGAGCCCTCCACTACGACGTCTCTCATAATCATATGGTGGTTTTGGGACGTTAAACCTCACACATCTATCAATCAATGCATCAAATCGATTCCCACAATGCATGGGATCTGCCAGATTTTAGATACGAAGCATCTCGATACAGTGTCCCCTGCTCGGGGTGGTGTCCCTTGTACGGCGGCGTCAACCTACCACTGCGCATGTGCGTCTACTCCTCCTCTGTCCTCTCCTACGTGCCCCCCCCCCTCCTCTATCCTCTCCTACAGGCAGCATCTGCTTGCGAGCTTGTTGATGAAAAAAAAAAGTCAGTTTCGTTACAAGGCCGAACCAATGAATGCGATAGCAAAGCATCTGGCTGTTATAGGAAGTAAAGCTAGGAGATTCAGGAACCATACGAAATTTAGTGAACATGGTTGATTGTGCTTGAACTGACAGTAATGCAGTAACCCTAGTATTGAAATAAGTGTTGTGAATGGTTGACTGCGTGACGTCCGACAGGAGGCGAAGTCCAAGTTCAGTATTGAGAAACGTGACAAATCACTGGTTTTCACGTCGAAGTACATGAACGTGAAGTCTCCAGTGACTTTCTCTGGTACAACCTTTAGGCACACCGCACGGAAGTTGTGCAGCAAAATGCTCATAACGTCAGTCCGGAAGCTTCCCGGTAAGATGTACTTTGTTGCAACGACCAAGTCGTGCGATGTTTTAAAGGCGCAAGCGCCACCAAAACTCATCTGGGGTAGTGACTGGAGTTTGCCTGTCTAAAGTGATACCGAATTCACAGGCACAACAGGACCAGCAACTTCCGGAATAGTTATGGACTTGATGCGAACAACTTTTCCTGTTGCTTCAGAGTGAAAGTGGAACCAGTGACATATTTTAGAGCGCCCCTTTCAGCCAACTGTATGGGCTTCAGGGAACGCACCCCTTCATTGATTCGTCCATCGGACACGTCAACGTTTTGGGAAAGCATGTATGACTTGTCCAAACAAAGTACATGCTTTGATTTGTTTTAGATCCATCGGCAGTGCGCAGTGGCAGATGGTGTATTACGTAGCTTGCCGTTAGTGTGATGGGTGATATGCCCAGCGTGGCCTGGTTGGTTGATGCAGCGCGCTCAGGAGCTAGTGGTCACTGGTTACAGTACCCGGTGGGCGCCTTGGAATTTTAGGGGCGAAGCTCCTCTTCGTCTAACCTTGTCACTGGTCACGTGTAACCGAGAGAAGAGACGAGGAAGAAGGCAGGAGAAATGGATGGCCATTTCTTGTCACATATACATGATGGGGTTACTTTGCCGCTACTCTCCGAAGTGCCACTACTCTCCAATTGGCTCCTGCTCGCGCTTTGCCTCAGTGCGCGGAGAACGAGTGCCTCTCTGTCTCCTGGATAGTCGCCGTGCGTGGCGGATCGTTGGTGGGGCACGGGCCAAACAGTGTGGCGGGGCGGGCGCGTTGAAGACGCTTGCGTTGGGCTTTCCTGGCTGGCGTCTCGTCGGTGTTACCCGCGCGCCGTCTGCATTCTCGAACGCGATCGGACGCATGAACGCACAGACGCTTCGCCCCACTCACCATTCACTCCGTGGATACGCTGTGATTTTTTTCTTCCGATTTCTTATATATATATATATATATATATATATATATATATATATATATATATATAATGTATGTGCAGTGCAGTGGATCTTTACCTCCAAGGTAGTGCCGCCGGAAGGTTCCTTTTGTGCGCTCTTCAACAGTAATAATTCGCAGCGTTCGCGTTAACTAAAAGCTGGCTGCGGGTCTCTGTCTGGAATCGGAGTCGTCTGTTTCTCATTTCCCATTAGCAGCGACGGCATGTTCCAATAGGAAACATCGGGCCATCACTGTGTGCTTTGCGCCTCCCCACTTTTCTCTTATGTGCAACGCCACGATGAGCGCCAGCGTCAACGCCGCCATCAGTGTAAGCGTTAGCGCCCACGACGCATCCACACATGGTTCCCTGTAGCGGGAGATGGCGAATTTTTTTTTTACTGTAGAGTAGTAAATACTGTACAAATGGAAAGAAATTAGAGTGGGAGGAAAATACACTAGTTGCTGTTATATAAGTTTATTGGAAGGTTGAAGGTTCAGTTTCCACCGGCGCAAAGCTGATTTTTCGTCAGCTATAATTTTTCCGACTTGCCTATAGTCAGAACCCAATTAATGTCCCCTATGCTATTATTGTCCCTTTGGATTCATTGTCTGTTTGTTTTATTGCGTTCTGTCTAACAAAGAAACGGGCCCTTCGTGCATTTCGCCTATCTATTCACCTACCACTACACGCTGGACGTGCTTCCGTAATGCCATCCAATGCGTGCGCCTCAACTGCGCGACTGTCCCGACGAGCTCGACCGCGACCGGACAAAACTCGCAAGAAAGAAGACGACGAAGACCCGTCGCTGCGAATCTCGGCTGGCACGCGAGGTCATGGTGATGGCCGCTGTCTGAATGACCGTGTACATACGTCGGCGTGTGCGTGCTCTTCCGCCGCCGCAACGGTGGCATCAAATCACTCGGTGAGCGTGGAGCCGGCACACTACGTCACGTTGTGTACGTGGAAGTGTCGTCCGCGAAGAGGACGAAGAGGGAAAGAAAGAAGCGAGCAGCGGCAACCCGGCGGAAATTGCGATTCGCGACAGCCACCACGTACACCGTAACGTCTGTCCCGTGCTCCTCCTGGAACCACGAAAAGGAGTGTCCCGGCGCTGCGCCGTTTGTCCCTGTCGTCTCGCTCACGCAATAATAATAAAAGAAGACAAACATGAACAAGGCTGTAAAATAAAGAGTGAATGGAGAAGTGGAGGGGCTATATACTTAGCGCAGAGCTTGTAAAGTCACATCGTGGCGGAAAACTTGCCGCTTTTTCAAGTGCGGCAATTCGGACAGGTTGGTAAGGGTGCATGACTTCGAGTCAGTAGCACAAAAAAAATGTACAAAAAGACGGAAACAAGAAAGGAAGTGTGCTGTCTACGTCTCATAGTTTTGCTTCCCTTTTTAAGCGCTGCTCATTCGAATTTACGTGCCTATCAAAAATAGCTAATGAACAAAAGCAGTAGAATGCGGAATGATAACTAGAAAAGAAAGGAAGAGGGAGATAGAAAAAAAAAGAAAGAAAGAAAGAAAAATTTGTCCTTAGAGGCAGAGAATTGACATGGTGGCGTTACCCACAGTTTTATTTTATTTTACAAAAATACCACGTGCCTGTGAAGGGCCCATGCAGGAGGGCCATTGTGTAAGATGGGCAAACTGAAAAACGCTGAAAACAATGCAGGTAGGCAAAAATAATACGTGACTCATGAAGCTAACCCAAATGATAATGGCTCATGCATGGTACAGAAGATGAACACAGGGATACGCATATTTAGGGATCGCACAAAATTTGTGTTTTAAAATAACGCAATTGCACAGATTTATTCGAGCAAATTAAGTCACCTTCGCACAACTCAGAAATGACTCTTTGAAAAAAGTTCGTTTTTGTTGTAATAGAAGATTCGACATGGCGTTGTCTTGTTAATCGTGGCTTAAGTGGTATGAGATACAGTTCAAGATCGAAAGGCCCATATTTTGGGTCGCAGCTGAAGTTGTCGTATACTTCCGTAAGGCTTCAGTTAGAGCTAACAGACAAGAAAGCCAAGAAAATTATAGGGGATGTTACTTTAGGCTAATTATGATGCGAATGGGCAGTTGACCAAAAGACAACCTGCCTCTGGCGGGAGCGGAACCTGGGACCTTCAAATAACGCGTGCTATGCTGGTACAGCACCGGCCACGTTAATCGAAGGTAGCAGGTTTGGTTCCTGCCGAAGGTGAGTTATTACCCGCGTTTCTTTCTTCACGTTTACGTCTCATTTACTACACACATTCCCTTTACTTTCGTTGGCTTACTTGTCTATTAATTTTAATTAATGTTGGGTCTAGGTGAGAAAAACTAGCCTCTAAGGTTCCCAGTCTTTCGTACAACCGTGCCGCGTTACGTAACTCAGGTATTGAAGACCAAGAAAAACGCGCCTTCGGAACAACGCCGAACCATGGGGCAGGGATTTTTCAACCTGTTCAACTCATGCCCCTAACAATAAGAACTAACAAGAAGCAGAAGCTGTAGAACAGCTAGAGACGTTCACCGGAGAGGGGAAGTGTTTAATTGAAAAGCGGGAAGTCGCCCGCAGAGTGGTGAACACGTGCAGCTTGAGATTCACGTTTTCTCTCTCTGTTCTCTGTCGCAGTGTTTCGGTCGGGCGCGACGGTTCCAGGAAAAACGTCTCTCGCCGGGCGGCCAGCAGCCGGCATCCGAGAGCGGCTTCCCGTGGTAAGTGATGGCTTCTCGACGCGTCGAGTGCGTCGTCCCGGAACGACGGAACGCGCCCGCCGAGTTGCACCTGGCGCACGACGTGGCGTTCCCCATTTTGTATTCTCATTCAAAACGATACCACCGTACTGCATCGGCATCACTAAAACCGCCGTGTTGGAGAGTCGGTGTGCTAAAATGAAGTATAGTGAAAGATTTACCCCTGCATTCTAGAACGCCCCTTCACTCAACGCTCCACCTTCACTGGAAAAAGTCAATGGTAGCGCCATCTCTAGTCAGGGAAAGTCACTGCATATCAATGATGATTTGCTGCTATTCTTGAGCAGCGCAGCGTCATTTTTAGCCGAGCAGCGGCGCAGTGCGGAACTCTGCCAAGTGAAGGGTGAAAGTCGAGTCGAGGAGCGTTTGTGAATACGGGGGTCAGAGTACTTCGTACTCCACTATGGGAGGGCATGAATCCGTCCCGTGGGTTTCACGCTTGATGAGGCCGTGTTGACAAACGCAAAATTACGGCGTGAACAAGTTCGCTAGGACGCATCTTAAAGCACACACAGTCGAAGCGGATCACGTAGGATGGTACTTCCGGTCACTCAACCATAGTTCGAGTAGCATAGTCCGCCTAACACGAAAGGGAGGCGATGTCACAGCAATGTTAGAGGTTTCAGTGACGAAATGCATTCGGTGAGCCTTGTCCGTCCATGGTGTCCGTCACGAGCGATTCGTGGATGTGAGACTAAAAAAAAAAAAAAAAAAGGTTTAACAATAGACTAATATCAATCAAAATTGTAACAATACAATATACAACACCTAAACGCACAAACCACTTGTACTCGTCGGCGACTTCAACGTAGACATTATAGACGTTAAAGGACACAGCTTCATCATTCACTTTGTGGAGATTCGCGATTTTTTTCGCCTTGTTCGGTATTCCGCTGTATCCCGGATACCATCGACCGGCTTAACGGTCGATGGTACCGACATCTTGCGACGCTTCGTGCAACCACAATTACAGTTTTGTTTGTTCTCGCCTAGTCTCCTTCAGTGAAAAAGAAAGTTTAAAAAGTCAACTCCATCGATACCAAGCCGTTACTCCGAATTTCCACCACTATGGGGAAATAGAATCTATATCCGGTGAAAGCTTGTCTTGATGTCTTTGTGGAAGTTATAAAACCTCAGCGCTTGCCTCCTTCCATGCCATGAAATAGCACTCGTTTACTGATTACTCTATTTGCAGATGACTGCTTGATTTATTCCCCAGCGACTTGCGAAAGCGAGCAAATTATTCTGAACAGGCACTTACAGGCATTAGATGAGTGCTGCAAAAAAACAGGAAATGAAAATAAACTACGGCAAGACAACATTCACGCATATTCGCTAAGGTGGGCGGGAACTGTCTTTCATGCACCACATCTGAAATCAACCTTTAAATGACGCCGCTTGTTTCAAATACCTAAAAGTTAGTATCATGCACACATTACAGTGGCACTTTCATATAGATAGCATTTGTTCTAAGTCAAATAAAAAAAAAAACTTTATTTCCCCAAGAAAAAGCTAGAACATGCCACACCGGACGTGAAACTAATTACTTACAAAACATTCATAAGACCAATCTTAGAGTACGCTAGTATTGTCTGGTCACCTCACCAGAAGATTTTGAGGACTAAAATTAAGAGAATGCAAAAATTAGCAATCCGTTTTGTATGTGGTAAATACCGACGCGCAAACTCCGTTACGGCCTTGTTAGAGTCATGTGAGCTTGAGTCTTTAGAATCTCGTAGACGCAAACAACGGCTCCAATTTCTTTTTAAGATTATAAGCGGGCAAAAAAAAAAAAAACTAAACAAGCATTTATATCTTCAGCCACCTGGAAGGCGATGTGATCGTATTAATAATACCAGAGCTATTCAACCTTATTTCACACGCACGAATGCTTTCCGCCACTCTTTTTTTTTTTCCAGACGCGATATAAATGTGGAATAGCTTACCCAATTCGGTTGTGCAACAAACGACGTCAGCCAACTTTAAAAATGCGTTGGACAGTTTTCTCAGCAGTGATAATTGCTGACTTCTGTTGCCAGCATTTGTTTCTCAATTTTTTTATCCGCATCGTTACTCCTGTTTGTTTCTTCTTTTCCTGATGATGATTATTCGTCTGTTATTCCTATGTGTGATTGAATACTGCAGGCTTTATTTTGTGAACACTATTTATTATGTGACACTCTCCCTGTAATGACCCCAAGAACGGGGTCGTCAGTATCAAATAAATGAAATAAATAAATAATAATCTCGTTGACCTTGCTGAAATGAATGCTAGTTTATGTTATTATTATGAGACTCAAACAGAAGTGGGAAGTCGTAAGTAAAGTACAATTATTTTTCACTATCAAAAAATGCATTCCTTTTCTTTCTATTTCTTAGAAAACACCTTTATAGCACGTCCATTTTTCACAGTAAACGTGGCGTCCTTGACGTAGTGGATCAGTGTGCGGCCGCAAACTCGCTGTTTAGTTTACAACGAAAAATATACTCCCAATGTGGCACTAAATGTAAAATGAATAATTGAAATGTTTCGCCCATTCATGTTTTTCATCTAAATCATTTTTCCGAACGCGTTAGCGATACGAGCGAACGAAATCGAAATCAGCCGAAAGCTGCCGTACTATACTTGTAGAGCCACATGAGTGTTCGGAAGCCCTGCCAGCCTTCGTTTCGCTGTCAATATACGTAGTCGCCGGTTTCTACAGTAAAATTCTTATGCTTGCCTGGTTCATCTCAACGCCTCTAGATGGCACCAACTTGTCCGTTTGCTCGCATTTGCGGCTACAGTAAAGAAGTTCGAGCACAGACGCAAACTCTGTTATTAACGTATGACATGCAGGTTCGTTCGCTATTCACACGCGGGGGGGGGGGGGGGGGGGGTTCATTTCGCGCACATATCAGAGTGAAGCAGCTTGTTTGTCATCAAAGCCGCCATCTTGGAGAACCGGCACGTCCAGAAGCCTTCTTCACGGCACGTCACGTGCAATCCATCTAGTGACGGTTTTCACTTATCTCGCGGACTCTGCTGCGTTTCAACACCGCATGCGGTGGGGCGCGAATTATGTTATGTCGCGAGTGTTTGTTGAGATTATGCAAGCTTCATTTTTCGTCATTTATGAAGTGACTGAGCCAGAAATGTTCTGGCTGCGTCGTTATGACATGGAAGCAGGTTAACGGCAACGTGATTATGCTGCCTCGATGTCAAGAAAGTGCCGCCATCTTTAAGACAGGCGTCTTCTATCTACGTCAAGCAATGGACGGTAAAAGCAATACTGTCAATCCGTGTTTATATTCGTGCTCAATACGTAAAAGAATTCAGAGGGACAAATAAACGTTTATTCGCGGAAACGGCGTCCCCAGCTCTGCAGGGTTTATGCTTTCGTTTCAAAGTAAAGTATAAATGTTGTGCTTACAGGCCGGTAAAATTACCTGTAAATAAATGGTGGTCTGATACTTTCTCTCGCCCTTTATCTATCATAGAAAATGCTGAAGCTCGTGATAGCAGGCGATATACTTAGAACAAGTGTGTGATCAACGGGACGGCTTTAAACCCACCCATAGTAGAGTGCGTAGTACTGTAAATCGTTACCCACTTTTTCTAAACACAAATAAATTACTTAGTAACTTTTACAATGTCTTCACTGAAATAATTTCAGCTGTGTTTGAAGCTAGGAAAAGCAACCGTATAAACTTTGCGAGATATAATTGAATACTTGATATATTTTCATGATTAACGTGCCGCCTAATCACGATTAACATGCATCTCAGATGCTAAAGGACAGGAGGCTCGCCTGCGGAGACGGCAGCGGCTGGCCGAAGTTTACGAGTAGTTCGTAGATTGATATTCCCTTTTCCGTCAAGAATATTAAAGCTGTTAGATAAAAAGCGAATGTCACGTTTAAAAATACACAAAAAGCCTTCGTAACTATCAAATCGATACACAATCAAACAGCGCATTAACGAAATTCGACAATGCGCTCATCGCAATTTTTGAGGTTTTGTATCATGGTATCCGCCAGACACAGCATTGAATAAGTTCGCACTGTACATATAGCACATCCGTGATTAGGGATGCGCGAACGCGTGGTCTGTGAGGCCCACGGGATGGCTCTATGCTTTCCCACAGTAGAATACCTAGTACTCTAAATCGTTACCCACTTTTCCATAACACACCATAGAGAAACATACTTTCATAAAGAGGGAACACTCCCGTAGGGCCCCGCGGCCGAGCAACTGCGCTGCTTTCAACGCCACGAGTGATTGATCAGACCCGATGTCTCCAGCATGAATAAAATAACAATATTTTTTTTTCTTTCCGACGCTGAAATTCGACCCTGTACCCTCGTGCTCCGAAAAGCGAGTGTCTCAGGCTACACACGCATGCTTCCTGAGAGGGAATACATGTACAGTACATCTAAACCACATGAATGTGCCTTTTTGTGCGAAACAAAGGCAGAAATACAACACTTTCTTGTCATAATTTACTGTTTTCTGCTCTAAGGCATTAAATGTCCTCAGCGGGGCATGATGTAGAGCACATATGAAATCTGGCAGAAACAATAAAATTTCTTTGCAAAAAATTGATGCCAACCTAGGTAATAAATGTCCTCCTGAGGAAGCTATTACATGTCTTAACAAAAGAGTAAAATCTGGCAGTACGCCATCTAGCGGTTAGACAGACCTTGCTAGTCCGCGAAAAGGCTCCAGTGGCCACTCTTTATATAGCACATTTCTGCATGGTCGAACTACGCTGTGTTTGGTTGATATGAATCACGTCGTAATTTTCGTCAACAGAACTGTTGCAAACTCTTCAATCTCCTTCTTTTTCCGTCGCTTGCTGGTCCTATTTTTTTTACCCGTTTTTCACTATCCACTATCATTTTCATCCCTCCTTCTCCACCCCCCCCCCTACAAGGCACTGCGCCGGGTCGCCAACAGGCAGACAAAAATAAGTGCCTTTA